AAATATATCAGTCACAAAAGGACAAATACTGCATGGTGCCATTGTTGTAGAATGGGACTGACATCAGAGTTGGGGTAAGACTGAGAAAAACTGGATAAATTATGTATACTGCATTGAAACACATGAGGGAGAGAACAACTTAAAAGCGATATATGATAGGGTATTATGGTTATCACAAGAGTCCAGAATTAAAGAACATAGAAACAGCCTAAATGTCCAACTACAATCGAATGAATTGAGAAACCGTGGTACATTCACCTGATGGAATATTACACAGTATGCAGGAGCAATGATCTTGAAAACTATTACATAACTTGAGAGGAACTGGAGAGCATTAAGCTGAGTGAACTAACTCAGTGTCATAAGGACAAATACTGTATAAAATCATTATTGTAGAAATAGATAACTAGTAAAACATGTATGAGGATCCAAGGGGTGGAAGGTAGGAGAAGAAGGGTGAGGATGGGCAGGGGATATTATCATCGGGTCGCACAGTTTGATGAGTGGAAGGAGGGATGAGTAAAGGAAATGGGGAAGATCCAGTGGGGATCTGGAAAGACCAGACAGTGGTGGATATATTTCAATGCTGATTAATATAATGAAAGGGAATGATTGTATAAAACACAATGTGAATGAAGAAGAGTATGAAAAACAATGTATACAAACTTTGTAAGCAAACCAATACAAAATAAAAAATTTTTAGTTGAAAATATTAAAAAGAAATTGAACAGCAAAGATTTTAAGCATATGAAAAGACTTTTCTTTACAGAAATACAAATAAAGCTATTTGGAGATTTATATATAATAGGTTTATTTGTATTTCTGTAAAGAAAAGTAAAAAAAAGCTAAGCTTTTTTATCATGGATAAGCTAAATGCACAAGCCTGAGCTGAATAACAGAACTATGTCTGAAGTAACAAAAGGAGCATTTTTCCTTAAAGAGGATTTCTATTCATCATTTTTAATAACTTACAGATTAATCCTGTCTCTCTCTTTTTTCCTTTTTTATTCGAAACCCAACGCTGCATCATTACTCTTTCCACCATCTCTCTGTGGTTCTTGTTTCAAATCAGCCTTCCATCCAACCCTTCCTTTTTTTTTTTTAAAAAGTGTGTGTGTGTGTGTGTGTACCGTCAAATCAGATTTGACCAGTACAGGAGAAGACTGTTCCGCCTTCTCCAGCAAAGCATCTGGTGGATTCGAACCACACACCTCTGGGATTGCAGTGCAGCTTCTTGCCACTAGGCCACCAGAGCTCGCCCCAACCCTTCCTTTTTTAGAAACTGTACTTTCAAAGAGCACTCAACAAAAAGATATGCGTTTAAAAATTATTACCTTTTCTCTTTGGTGTAATATCCTTAGATTTTCTGGTTTCTTCTAATACCTGTTCACCATATTCTAGGATGATCTGAAATTAAACAATAATTTAAAGACATAAGTTTTTGTTTAAACACTTCCAATAATGTCATTTAGTCTTCAACAATCTTCCCCCACTTTAATATTTAAAGTGGAAAAAATTAAAATGCCATTAAAAATTTATATCATTTAGATAGGTATGGATTGCCTAAGTTCCTTTGGGCAATGTAGCATGCAAAGTTCATGGTCTTGTAAGATTATAATGCCACTGAGTCAATCAAGTTCAAAAATCTCACCAGGAGACCAGGATGTTAGGGATGCACTTTTCTAAGCACTGTGAATCCTATCTGTATCTCACTTATTTTCTGGGTTCTGGTGAGCTAATGGGTAAGGAGCTGCATTGTCAATCCAAAGGCAGGCAGTTCAAATCCAACAACCGCTCTGAAGAAAAAAGATGGGCCATCTCCTCCTGCACAATTTACAGTCTACGGAAAACCTGCTGGAGGGACAGTTATGAATCATCTCTGACTCCAAGGCAATGACATTAATTTGATACTGTAGGAAAGGAGTCCTGGTGGTACAGTCAGTAGGAGGTTACATAACTCAAAGGTTATGACTCTCTGGTGGTT